GGTAATATAACTCAAAATTAATATTATAATTTGGTTAAAAAGTTGATTATCAATAAAAATAACCAGCAACACATGGAATCTGTCTCTAAACACACCACTGTGAGAGGCATTTTTTGGCTTCCACGACTACTGAATGAGATACATGCCAACAATATTTACTTGTTTCTTTTCATCGTACTATTTAGAGTAACAAATTTCTGATAAAATTTTGAAATGCATGACCTTCTAACATTGAGAATACAGGTTTCCCAACAGCCTCTTCCCTATAGAGGATGTTGTGGAACTTGGTTATGTAATAATTAACATCGGGTTTTGGTGGGTTGAAGAACATATAAACCATAAAGGTTGATTTCTGATTTGTTTTGAAATCAAACATTTGAAATTCCCGATTTGTTGCCGGAAATTCACGAAGCACAATGATATGTGAGGATTGATTTTGGTAACTTCGTTCCAAATATTTTAAAGGTTGATTTAGGAATTCACTGACGAAGAAGGAGAAAGGTAGCCAGTGAATCAAAGGCTTGCATTGTATTTTCCTTATTCCTTCTTGTACAAAATACATTTTATCAAGGAGTTATTATATTTAGACAAAAATATAGACTAGGGATGAAATAGTCATTTCTAACACTCAGACTGTTTATTTAACATAATAACCGAATAACAACTTATATGTTATCATATAGATAACTTTATTAATACAAACACCTTAATTTATCTATACATGTTTTAATAGAAAACGAACTAAACAAGTCCTACATCTCATTGCATTTGAATGAAAATAGTGCACATATTACCATTCACAAATTTTGTTTTATTTTAAAAAAATCAATTGTATATAAATTAACCCTTATATGCTTCTAGGATGTAGCTGAGTTGGTAAAAGGGGTGGGGTGATAGGCATGAGAATGGGGCGAGAACTTCAATTCTCATCCCCGCCCCCTATCCCAATCTCAGTTCCCATCCTCGTCCTTATCCCTACTGGAAAATATGATTATATCCCCACCTCCCCATCGCAAACAAGAAAAGGGGATCCTCCCTGGCACTATATTCGTTGATAATGATCCATATTTAATTGTCACGTATATATTTCTAAAATTTTGCTTTTATGGAGAATCAAATATTTATATATGAACAAAATCGCAACATCATACGTAACTGTTTGATGAAACGCTTTCGGCTCTCTATTTTCTTTAATCTACAAAAGTGAAACAAGTCAGAAAAAATGTATATAAGAAGAAAGATCAACATACTCTTTATAAATCTAAAAGATTCTAAATCTAATTCTTTATAAATAATATATTTAATAATAAATATGCAATATATATAATAATAAATATATAATATATTTAATATACGGAGACAGGGCGAGGAGCACATCACCCGACCCCTTCCACGTCCCTAGTTTTTAATTTTCAGGGATCCTAGTCCCCATCCCCCTGTCCCGGTTTTGTAGGGAATCCCCAGCCCTGTCGGGGCGGGTACACCGGGTTTTCCAATTTTGGGGGGGGGGGGGGTGTCTCATCCAATAAGTATGGGGAGATTTTGTCCAAATAGAAGACATGTATCAAGCTCAATCTTGAGCCCCCACACTAGCCTTAAATGCTAGGTCCCGTTTGGTTTGTAGAATTGGAATGGATTTGGAGGGATTTGCATTTCAAATCCATTCCAATCCCATGTTTAGTATGTTGGATAATCCGGATTTGAAATCCTAAGATTTAATTGAAATCCTTCAAACATAGGATTTTGAAATCTTTAGGTAGTGCTCAGGATTTCTTGGGATTTCGTAGTATTATATGCAATAAGGTTTTAAAAAATGTTAAAAACATTTGTTTTGTAATAATTGATTAATAAAAATGTAATCCAATTATTTTTATAATTATTTATAATTTTTTCTATAAATTATTTATAATAATGAAATCCAATTTCATTCCAAATCCTACACACCAATGGTTTCAAATTTATTCCAATCCAAATCCCTACAAATCCAAATCCTTTCATGAAATCCAAATCCCTAAAAAACAATCATGTAAACCAAACGGACCCTAAGTGACCCAAAATATCCCTTTGTATTGGTGTTATTGGAAACGGGTTCCATATGAGTTGGTTGAAGTTTCTGGTAACTCAACTTTTCACCTAAATAAATTAATTCTTATATCTATATCTATATCTATATCTATATCTATATCAATATGTATATCTATATCTATATCTATATTGTACTATAAATTGAGTAAAGTTGGGTTTTTGTCTATAAACTTGACATTATCTAAAGTCAAACATATAACTTAATCCAACAATGGAAAACGAAATGTGTAATAGATGTTAAAAACATGTGATTTTACATGGAGTGAAATTTTAATTATAGGTGATAATTGCAGAGCAATTTCCAGATCTACACACACATATGAGTTTTATAATACTTTAAAATGGGATATATATATATACACATACACTAGAACGGTACTCGAGCAATGCAGCGAGATAAATCTTTATTTTAATGTTTAATTTTTATTATTTGTCTCTATTAATGTAATATAATTTTATGTGGTTTTAAGAAAACGATAATGTTTTTATTTTTGAATGAAATATAAATTTGAAGATAGCGTAAATTTTTAAAAAAAATCGATATTAGTATTAAATTAACTATCTAATAATTTTCATTTTTTTGGTGTAACTTCTTTAATTCAATTTTTTATTATAATTTAATTTAGGTATAATAACAAAATAATTTATTTTGGTTTAATAATATAATATTTATTAAAAATAATAATTAAACATTCGG